CCCCAAAACCCCAAAACCCCAAAACCCCTGTATTTTAGTTATTATTTTTATGAAAGGAAGAACAATGTCCAGAACAGTTCCTCAAAGACATTTGCAAGCACTGAGTAAGAGCTTTAAATTTTCTGTATGATTTAGGAACAAGTGTATTGCAATACTTTTGCATTTCTTACAACTAATTTCACAATAGGCATTTTTAGGCAGGAGAGTGAGCAAAATGTGGCTAAAAGGGAGATATGGGGTAATTGTCATTCTAACCTTCTAGATACTTCTCTTGATTATTTCAGCGAGAATATGAGCACGAAATGAGTTTCATTTCATGAAGATCAGTGGAACATAAGTCTTGACCTTCGAATTCCTGATTCATCCATTATAGTGAAGACATTTTCGCTGCTAGGTATTGCAGAGTGGCTGATAATATAGAAGGTGCCAAGTTCAACGAGGTGTTTTTCTTCTTTACTACCAATGAAAATTTCAAAACCTCCATCAGATGTTTGCTAGATCAAGATATCAAAATCAAAAAGTTGTATCTGAAATTTACTGACAAAAATCTCTCAAAATCAAACCTATATTGTCTGATCAGGAATGCTCATAAAATCAGTGAGTTCATGCTCTTAAATGGACTACAAGTATATTCCCAGTCATAAAACTAGTTTCAAACCCGCCATCTATCATCCCTTCTCCATGCCTCCAGACATATCTCTGAACTTGTGTTCACAAAATGAAGCTTAATGGACAGGTAAAATTTGGAAATTTGACTGTATAGTTGTAAATGAGTGAAGATTTCTAGTAGTGTGAGGTAAGTGGGTTGGGATATTTTAGGGTTGGGATAAACACACTATCCCTCCAATACACAAAATGCTCAAAAGCCGTCATGCTCGGTCTCCTAACCTCTCTTGCCAAGAACCATAATTTCGCAGAAAACCTTAAGCTGATGTACTATAAAGAGTCCATCTTTAGCCCGAAGCCAGGTGAGAATTAGGATAAGGAGTTAGGGTCAGGGGAGGCCCCTGAATTGGATTTTGAGGGTTTTAGGGGGGTTGAGGAAAGGTGTTATGGTGGGAGGGATTTGGGGAGGTTGGCTTATGGGGGGAGGGGAATGGTGTTGGGGTGTTAGAGAGGGATAGGAGGTGAATTGGTGATGGAGTGTTGGGAAGGAGTAAAGTAGTAATATCTTCATTCTTATTAAATTCAAGCATATAGGATTGACGATAAAAGCTCTAACTGCAATTCTGAGAGATTTAGGCTTCAAAACAGAAGTGAAGCATACAAAATCTCTCTTGCACAAATAAAATTCAACATTACATCCCTCTAAAGGGGTTTTGGGGTTTTGGGGTTTTGGGG